ATAAACAGCAATGATACAGTGTTTCCTTGGTTACCACTGTAAACAAAGCAGCGCTGCACTTATGAACTTTAATATGCATTATACAGAGGCAAGATGAACAGAAAAAATACCATCGAAAGACAGTAAGTTCCCCTCAGACATACATTCATATAAACTCCTACCCCTAATTGAATCGTGATTTCAACACCTCCATAGCAGAGAAAAGTGTTTTAGCTTAAATATCCTTTTATTTATTAAACGTTTTGTGTTACCTCCCAAAAACCCTAGACGCCAGATAATTAGGGAGACATAACAGTAGATAAGTGCAAAAAAAGTAATAATGTACTACAATGTTTAACAGGAATGGAATGGGGAGCTAGTAGGAAATCTTTACAAAGAATATATAGTGCACTGACTTGGTCAGCAATTGATTATGGATGCATAATTTATGGATCTGCATCTAAATCCTAATAAGGTGGGAGAAATGCCTATAACTTTACGAAAATTGAAATTAACTATGAATTATTGGATAAATGTAAAAGGGCATTCAGAATTACATCCAGTAAAGGACATATTGAAGGATTGCTGGGAATATGGGAAAAATAAAATCAAAAGTTTTGGTTGGACAGCAATTAGAGATGCTACGATTTTGGGTATTACAGAAATCTCAGTTAGTCCCTCTGTTGTAATATCGAATATTCCTCCTTGGTTGCTTCCTATGCCTCAAGTAGATTTTCATCTACAATATATGATTAAGAATGAGAAAACGTTATCTAAGGAGGTTGTTGTTCAACAATATCTAGATCAAAATTACTCTTCAATGCTCCATATCTTCACAGATGGTTCTAAAGATCCTACATCAGGAAAGTCAGCTGCAGCTGTATATATCCAAAGATTACAAGTCAACATTCAGAAAAGGATAACTAATTTTGTATCAGTCTTTACAACAGAGCTAATAGCAATTTTATTAGCTATTCAATGGGTGGAGGAAGTTAAGCCTACTAGGGTAGTCATTTGTACAGATTCCTTGTCAGCTTTAAATAGTTTAATAAGTGAACAATCAACATCAAGAAAGGATTTAATCTATGAAGTACTTATAAATCTGCTTAGGATTCAGGAAATTGGTATAGTCCTGAGGTTCTTATGGGTACCTGCACATGTAGGAGTACTAGGAAATGAAATAGTTGATAAACTGGCCAAACAAGCAATAAAACATATGAACGTTGAGGTACAAATTCCACTGAGTAAAGTAGAAATAAAAGGAAGAATTAAAGAACACATGAATAAAAAGTGGCAGGAAATGTGGGACAAGGATTTAAAGGGCAGACACCTATACAATATCCAAAAACAAGTTGGCAAAGGGAGAATATGCTTTAACAATAGAAAAGAAGACATAATTACTCGACTTCGAATAGGACATTCTGGTTTAAATCATTCATTATTCACAATAGCGAAACATCAGTCAGGATTATGTACTACATGTAGTGTAGCAGAGACTATTGAGCATGTACTTCTACAGGAACGTGCACACATAGACATCAAAGGGGGCTTGAGCACCTGCCCTTTTTCTTCCTCGAGAGAAAGTGCCTTTTTTTTCTGGGGAGTTTTTTTTTTATATATAATAAATTAATATATGCGTGTGTGTGTGTGTTTCTGTTTGCGCTCAGATGTCCTGGCAAACAAATAAAATATCAAAATATCAGGTCGGGTCAGGAAATGTTGAGACTGTCGAGTGTCGAGTTCCGATGCATTTCTCCCTCCACGCCTCCGCGCCTCCGCACCACAGCAGTGTAGCGCACATTTGATCAGCTGCACATCAAGTCACAGACATGCAGAGAGCCGCAGATTGCAGAAGTGAAGCCCTCCTCTCTTTCCAGCTGTGTTTGTCTTTGTGTGGAGGTGAGTGTTGATGAACAAAAGACTAAGCTACCTGTGCCTCGAATTTACAGCTAATTATCCTATTCATGACTCATGAGAGCTACCAAGTTGCTTAAAGTTTAGCTAAGGCAATAGGAAGTCTAGTTGGTTAGACCAGTGCAGGTTCTTTCACTGCATAATTCAGTTTATTCAAATGCATTTAGAATGATCACAAAATTCAAGATATGGGGGCAGAAATGTATATATTTATATCATATTTATATCATTTCATTTAGTTAATCAGTATCACGCGAAGACTGACGTTTGTTCCACCAAAAAGCAGCATGATTACAAATGTGATATTGATTTTATACAGCAGTTCAATAAACAAGAAATTAGTATTACGACACTTACGTTTTAGAGACAATATTGACTGTTTCTGCTCTATTTCGCCAACAAATATAATTTCAATTTGTGTCTCTGAGCAACAGGACGGTGTTTAGTTCCTGAATGAATCAACCGTTTAAATGATTCGGTTCAGTCGCAGTGACTCACGTATTAACAGTGACTTGCTGCCACCTACTGGCGGTTTTAATTTCACATTTAAATGATTACAGAACCGGCTTTACTGACAAGATGCGCATTAAATATCGCATGCGATTTATCGTGCAGCCCTACTCATAATGTTTGTTTGTTTCTGTCGTGAAGGCTGGTTTAGAGAAATCTCATCATGGGAAACACCAGCGATCGAGTGTCTGGAGATAGACATGGAGCGAAGACGCAGCGGTCAGACAGCGGAGCACACCGAGACCTGGAGCCCAGCAAACTGATGGACAGCACCGACGACCCCAATATATTCAACACACACGGCCCAGAGTCTAAAGTATGCAATGTTGTAAAAACAAATGACTTCACATGCTCATGTGCATCTGATGAATTTGCCAATACTTTATCTATTTATTAGGGCTGGGTAAAAAATATCGATATCTCGATATTAATCGATTCTCATTTTTATGGAACGATAACGATTCTTAAATCCCAAGAATCGATTAGTCTGTTTTCAGTTAATGGACGGAACATTGAAGCGCACTTCCCATCCAATATTTCGCAATAAGCATTGTGCTTTGGTACTTTTAATATGAAACAAAGTCTCAGATTTCAAATTCTGTCCATTGTATTGCAGTATTCAAACAATAAATGCCGTTTTGGCACTGTTTAATGTGGAGTGACAGATCGCAAGATGATGCACACTTTTAGAAAAAAAAGGCTTAAAGGTAAAAATGCTCATAAAAGGTAAAAATCGATTTAAACTTATTGGGAAAGATTAATTTCTATCTCTGCTGTGAACTGACCAGCACACAGAATATGAAGAATATCAAACACTTCAGGAGTCAGCTGTCCACGGCAGTCCTTAAGATATCAGCACAATAACACACTCAGCACAATATCATCTAATTATCGTTATCGATAAAATCCCGGAAAATATTGAGATATATACAATATTGCACATCTCTAATATATTTAATGTTTTGTTTAGAATTTTTAAAAAATAAATATGAGAAGTGCCCTTTTTTCCACTTCAGCCCCTGCCCCTCAAAATGTCTGCATGTCCCCTGTTCTTGAAGATGATGAACTTGCAGTTTCTAAACCTAACCCTAACCATATGGTAAGTACATGTAGTTAATTAATATTACTCAGTACTTAAATGTTTAATTACTAGGGCTGGTAAAAAATATCGATATCTCGATATTAATCGATTCTCATTTTTATGGAACGATAACGATTCTTAAATCCCAAGAATCGATTAGTCTGTTTTCAGTTAATGGACGGAACATTGAAGCGCACTTCCCATCCAATATTTCGCAATAAGCATTGTGCTTTGGTACTTTTAATATGAAGCAAAGTCTCAGATTTCAAGTTCTGTCCATTGTATTGCAGTATTCAAACAATAAATGCCGTTTTGGCACTGTTTAATGTGGAGTGACAGATCGCTGTAGCTCTTCAGTGAACTGATCATCTCCTCTACATTAATACCAGCTTCAGCACAAAATAAACATGACTAAACATCCGAAGGTAAGTTAAAAGAAAGAGTATAACTTTACAATCCGTCTCCCGCTTCACACTCCAGTCCAGTTGGTGGCGGTAATACACCATAAGTTGGCTTGTCTACCGCCATTAAATCGTACAAGAAGAAGAAGAAGAATACGCTGCACACCCCGGTACAGTAGGTGGCGGTATGCACCTGAACAAGTTGGTTGTGACCCGCCATTAAAACCAGAGAGAGAGAGAAAGTTCAGTCCTTCACAGCGGTGGAAATAATATTCATTGTTATTCATCTGCGGTAATAAATACTGATTGCACTTTTTACATTTTTACTTTGCTGCAAACACTATTAACACATGCGGTTCATGTTATGATAGTTTCTTCTGAACGTGAATGATCGATTAATCAGCATGCTAACAGCTAGCAAACTCGAGCTGCCCATCAATAACACTTGTGTCACATATAGAAACAAAAATAATATCTGAATATAACTAAACATACTCCTCTTGTAAGCGTTTAACAACGGTCACACGTTCATCTTGCTGTCAGTAGTGTGTTTGTAATGTTTTGTGGGAGTGTGTTTGGTCACATACAGTAGATGTTTGGATGTGCAGTGACAGTTTCTGAGTTTCTTTATTTCTGAGTCTTTGTAGAAATACAGCAACCCTTGTTTTGCTCGTGAAATAAGCAGCGCAGAATACAGAAGTGCATCCTACAAGCGCCATACTGAAAAATTGATATATAATGTGTCAAAATATAAAGTTAAAGATTATAAAGTATACAGATTTTAAGTAATAAATGTTCCTAAAAGTGTAAACAGCACTGTGCATCAGAATTTTGGCTTTTGATAATATTTATATTCAGTTTACTGATGCCTCTTTAAATATCACCATGAATCTGATGGAGGGCGTGTTTTCGTGAACATAAGTTTCTGTTGAATTATCCTTCACATTTTAAAGCGTTTCTGTAGACGTGAGTAATTTCTTGTGAAGGGCCATTCTGAGTTTTCTGGATAATCAGTTTAATTTTCCGTGTGATGAAGTGTTTGCAGTAACATCAGTCAAACGTACTCATTTTTTTTCCTTGAGAAAATTTGGCATGTACTGTGTACCTGATATATATCCAAAATAACCGATATTGAATCGAATCAGTAATCGAATCGCAAGCTTGTGACTGAGAATCATGAAATTTGTGTCAAAACCCAGCCCTACTATTTATCGTCATCATTACCATCTTCCAGCCTCTCTCTGACAATTAAACAGACTATTGATATGTAAACAGTAATCAAGACTTTGTTTCATAAATGACCTCAGGAATGATTAGCTGACCTCCTGTGAATTACTGGAGAGTTTGCTGTCATATCATTCTAGTCAAAAGCAGCTCTGTTCTGCAGGCCGTGGGTGAGAAGGACTTGGCTCCGGATCTAGAGGACATGAAGACGGGTCGGCAGGCTCGACCCACAGTGATCCGCTGGGCCGGAGGAGGCAAGGAGGTCTGCATCACCGGCTCCTTCAACAACTGGAGCAGCAAGATCCCCATGAATAAAAGGTATCTGTGCGCTCGTCTTTCTGCAGTGCAAACCATAATGAACAGAAGGTCGCACGTTGTTATTTCATGAATTAAGTTTATGTGAAAATGTTTTTGTTTTTTTCAAGCCATAATGATTTTGTAGCAATCTTGGACCTGCCTGAAGGTGAACATCAGTACAAATTCTTTGTTGATGGCCAGTGGCTTCATGACCCCTCTGAGGTGACTATATCTGCACAACGGTCTGCATTTAAACCGTCACGTGACTTTTGAACATAGCTTTCTGTTGTAAGTATTGCTACTATGTAGACAAATGGCAAGCAAACATGATGTCAGTGGAGGTTGTAAGTGTACAGTCTGTTGCACACAGACGAGAAGCAGCTCATGTTCTCGTGGTTAGGATTGATTCTGCTCTCACACGCTCAAGCTCAGGGGCAGCCGTCTAAAACACTGAATCTCATCACTATACAGGCAGAAGTTCACTTCAAGAATGAACAAAGTGGAATTAATTAGACTCAAGTTGGGTGAATGAAAGAAACAGAAAGAGAAGGTATGATCTGTATTATGATATAATGAAACAGTAAAGCCAAGTCAGCTTTATTTCTATAGCGCTTTATACAATACAGATTGTCAAAGCAGCTTTACAGTGTTAAACAGGAAAAATAGTGTTTCAATAATGCAAACTAAATTAAATTCAGCTGTAAAGCAGCTCTAATAAGAGGGCAATAGACAATAAAAGAGGGTTAGATCCAAGCCACAAAAAGACAAACGCTTTACTGAAAAATGCAAATCTTCCAGCAGAGATTGATGTCAGTGTGTACATTATCAATGATTTGGGACAAATATAATGTAGTGGAAAACCATGTGTGGTGTGTCAGGATTCTGAAGCTGTTTGCTGCTGGTGTGTGAACTAGGGGTTGCACCGACTAATCGACTAGTCGACTTCAATGCTCTGCCATGACGCTTTAAGCTTGACGTCGACTAGTCGCTGGTCCTATAGAGGGCGCAACAGGATAAGAAATCTTTCAAGGATTTCCACATTTACGCTCCGTTTCCAAACAGTTCAAAGCTGCCAGGTAGAATTAATGCAGACACGCAATCGCTCTCACTAATGCATTCATATGAATGTAATCTTTACTGTGCTACTTTATCTGTATCTGATTTAGAATGAGCAGAAATCTGTGAGAAATATAACGACCCAAAGACAAAAGAACTGATAAAAAAACTGTTATATGAGCAACAGCCTTGTGGGCAGCGCTGTGTCATATGCCATAGCTGTGCACAAGCTGTTTATCACAGCTCCAGACTTATTTGTTCATTAATGACGTCATCAGCGACTAGTCGACTTCGACTCGACTTTCATCACATAAATGTCGACTTTAAAAAATCAGAAGTCGTTCAACCCCTAGTGTGAACACAAAACTGTGTGTTTGAGTTTGAAAGATGTGTGACCCGCTGAAAGCTACACAGTTAAATCAGAGAACACCACGAGCACAGTCTGAGTAAACAACAGTTAGGGTTTTAAATAAGCACAAAATGAAACTGAAGCAAATCTGGTTAATCTGTTCACCCTAAATTAAAAACTGTCGTTTCATCATTCCCTCAGCCTCATGTCACTCCAAACCCATAATGATAGAGATACATAGAGATGTTCAGCAGGACTGTTTTTCACCTCTCATGCATCACCATCGTAATCTGTTGTGCTTTACAGAACGAAGAGTCACATGATGGTTGGCTGAAATCGTTCCTTTGAATTGAAATGCATCTGTTTTCTCTTCAGCCGGTTGTCACCAGTCAGATGGGCACCATTAACAATCTGATCCATGTGAAGAAATCAGATTTTGAGGTGTTTGATGCACTGCAGGTGGACTCTCTCGAGTGCTCTGATACGTCCGGTAAGAGCCCGTCTGTCAGTGTTAGAATAACAGAACACAAATGTGTGGATGTACAATCGCTGTCATGGATGTCTGTTAAAAGATCCCGCAGAAAAAGCCAGTGTTAATGTGATGCAGTGTTGTGTGTAGATCTGTCCAGCTCTCCGCCTGGGCCGTACAGACAGGAGCTGTACGTGTTCAAGCCTGAGGAACGCTTCAAAGCACCCCCCATCCTGCCGCCTCACCTCCTACAAGTCATTCTCAACAAAGACACCAACATATCAGTGAGAATCCTCTGTCTTACTGCCACGACTCTTTTACATGTACAGTAGTATTGCCAAAGCATCCGGGCAAAAACATGCGCCAGTAATGGTAATAAAAATAGTGTATCAGTACATAATTAAAGAGTCATGAAACCTCAAACCATATTTTTGAGATGTTAACAGATGCTAAAACAATAATAATAGCACCAATTAGGTTTATTAATAAGGGGAAACTTGTCATTTTTGCATTTTTCTGAGCCATTTAGTTTTTCTGGTTTGAAAAGCCAATTTAATGCTGCTTCACAAAATGTGTGTTAAACTCATGCAGCCAGAGTCTGGACTGACTGGAAAACATCAGTTTCCAAGATTTTCTCTGTATTGTTCATGAGAAGGAATTCATAACATTCAATCACTGCACTATATTATGCATGACAAAGTATTACTTTGACGGTCTTGAACCCTCGTTTTTTGTAGAGACATGGGTCATAAGTGTGCGTTTCTTCAGTGCATTAATATGAAGTGTTGTTTTATGTTTTCTTGCTACCAACACATTTCTATCACAACACGCAGAGCATGCGTGAGAGCCGTTTCGGCAGTCGCGAGGAGTTCAACAACACTCAGTGACGTTAATATCTGGACTGGTTCAAGGTTTTATGAGCGTAGTCAAGCAGACCAGTAACTCAGAAAAGTTTAAATGCTCATTTGATTAAATTTTTTAAGAACAATGTATTAAAACATTTGTTCATGATAGTTGCTAGTACTCTCTTATGATATGATGCGTGGAAGTTTTGTTGTGATAGCACTATATTTTTAAAATACAGCAAAGTGCCCCAAACTCTTTTTTTTCACTCACATTTTAATATTCATTCATCTGTATAATTGTATAAGTGTTTTATGGGTTGATGTCTCCTCTCTTCCCGTCCTCTACATTCCCCCTTTTGTACAGCTTTACATGAGTCTTTTTCAAATCTGAGATGTGAATGAGCAGTGCTAAAACAGGGTTTCATGACACTTTAAACATTCAACAAGAAATTAATGATCTTTGCTTGGTTGTTTTTATTTTTATCAAGATTCTTTCTCTGCCCGTTTAGTTCAATAAAAAATTTCATTGAATTGAACCCATGAGCTCTACTTTTAAAAAAACGTATTTTGTTCCTTCAGCTTGCTCTTTTAAATGCATGAACATCAGTCTTGAGTCTTTTAGCAGTCTGTTTTGCGTGTTTCAGTGTGATCCTGCCCTGCTGCCAGAACCCAACCATGTGATGCTCAATCATCTGTACGCGCTCTCCATCAAGGTACATTAAACACCTCTAAAGCAGCCGTGTGCTGACAAACGCTCTCATATAATGGTAAATAACTGTGATCGAATGTATTCTGTCTCAGGATGGTGTGATGGTTCTCAGCGCAACTCATCGTTATAAGAAGAAATATGTGACGTCTCTTCTGTACAAACCTATTTAATAAGCTGTGGATGATGCATGGTCTGCTGTCCTCATCCTCTATAGTCCAGATTGCACTATAAACCCGCGATACATGCAGTAGATCTGTCAGCTTGAGACTTCAACGGTAGTGTGAGTGTGTGTGTCTGTGTGTGAGTGTGTGAGTGAGTGTGTGTCTGTGTGAGTGTGTGTGTGTGTGTCTGTGTGTGTGTGTGTGTGTGTGAGTGAGTGTGTGTGTATGCGTGTGTGTGTGTGTGTGTGAGAGAGTGAGTGAGTGTGTGAGTGTGTGAGAGTGTGTGTGTGAGAGAGTGTGTGTGTGTG